CATACACAGAAGCCTGACCACTAATCAGGTCTTACAATATTATATTCAAACTTTCATTTATAGAAGCCTGACCACTAATCCGATCTTACAATATTATACTCAAACTTTCATTTATAGAAGCCTGACCATTAATAAAGATTTTACAATATTATATTCAAACTTTCATACAACAGAAGCCTGACCACTAATCGGGTCTTACACCATTGTTTTTGGGATTTGCCAAATATTAGGTTTGTCTATACATATTCTTTTTTTTATCATTTTGTATAACACTTTTTCCTATAAAATTTATCACAGTATATTATATTATCATCTCAGGTTTTTTAACTTGCATCAACACATTTCTGTAGAAAAAGTCTTTCTTTAACAAATAGGATCCTCAGGGTAGTGAACTTATCCACTATGTAAGGATTCTTTATGTGAATAGGTTTTAAACTCCTGGGGTAGAGAAAAATCTGGTCAACAGACAAATCATATTGAGGAAACCAGACACGTGTACTAATCGTTTTAAGTTTCTTACTCCACTGCATAAAATACTAGTATCATTATGAAAATTATAACATTATTTGGATAGTTAAGGAACGGCTAAGCTCATTTTAAATGAAAAAACTATATATTTATATCTCCCAACATGCACTTCCCTATCATTCTTCTCGTTAAATATCTACTTACCTGGACGTTACGTGTCTTGGACCATGTGGCACAATGTGTTCAATCATCCTGAAAGTTGTATCTGTGTTTACCTGAGAATACAGGTCAGCTTCCTGAAAGTTGTATCTGTGTTTACCTTAGAATACAGGTCAGCTTCCTGAAAGTTGTATCTGTGTTTACCTTAGAATACAGGTCAGCTTCCTGAAAGTTGTATCTATGTTTACCTTAGAATACAGGTCAGCTTCCTGAAAGTTGTATCTGTGTTTACCTGAGAATATAGGTCAACTTCCTGAAAGTTGTATCTGTGTTTACCTTAGAATACAAGTCAGCTTCCTGAAAGTTGTATCTGTGTTTACCTTAGAATACAGTCATCATCCTGAAAGTTGTATCTGTGTTTACATTAGAACATAAGTCATCATCCTGAAAGTTGTATCTGTGTTTACCTTAGAACATAAGTCATCATCGTGAAAGCTGTATCTGTGTTTACCTTAGAATATAGGTCTACTTCCTGAAAGTAGTATCTGTGTTTACCTTAGAATACAGGTCAGCTTCCTGAAAGTTGTTTCTATGTTTACCTGAGAATATAAGTCATCATCCTGAAAGTTGTATCTGTGTTTACCTGAGAATATAAGTCATCATCCTGCTTCTCCATGATGAATTCAGCAGATTTATTTTCAAACACTTTGTACGTCTCAACATATCGACCAGCTTCTTCTGGACTGCAGTATCACAAAACAAATCAGAGTTGTCTATTTCCTTAATGCATGGTGAACAGTTTAACATGTTTACAATGTCAAATAACATTGAGAATAAAACCTACACATTAACTTCTGTTAAAACTACGATTTCTGTGAGACAAAACTATCAGTGGTTAGAGAGTGGTTCGCAAGTTATTCTGAATGATGAGTACTTAATTCAAGTAAAATAATAATAACATAATCTTATATTAATGTATTATAAACCTAATTATGATGTGTAATGACTTAGATAATAAAATTATAATAATTACAGTTTACCAACTTACACTAGTTCACAGCTGGTAGAATGATAATGTTATCATTTGTCAGCTGTCTCAGTACCTCTGTCAACTGGTAGAATGACTAGTGTTATCATTTGTCAGCTGTCTCAGTACCTCTGTCAACTGGTAGAATGACTAGTGTTATCATTTGTCAGCTGTCTCAGTACCTCTGTCAACTGGTAGAATGATAGTGTTATCATTTGTCAGCTGTCTCATTCTACCAGTTGACAGAGGTACTGACCTAGTGTTATCATTTGTCAGTTGTCTCAGTACCTCTGTCAACTGGTAGAATGATAGTGTTATCAGTTGTCTCAGTACCTCTGTCAACTGGTAGAATGACTAGTGTTATCAGTTGTCAGCACCTCTGTCAACTGGTAGAATGACTAGTGTTATCATTTGTCAGCTGTC